AAAATAATGAACTTTCACCCCCTAAATTAAATATTAAATGATCAAATTGATATAAATAGTTTTCCATTATTAAATTTCAACTTGTCTTTAAAAATTTAATGTCTTACCTTATCCCTCCCTTTTGTTGTTTCCACCCCATATTATTTGTAACCTTTTAGTATTTATGTTAATTTTGTAACAATTTTAATCAGAATATCTTCACCTAAAGAAGCCAATATTATAGTGAAAAAACTGTTATGAACAATTTTAAACTTTACTTTTATTTCCTTTAATTGATTATGGAGTTCCAACAAGTAAATGCTTCTATCATTAATTACTTCTATATTAGGTACTATTTGATTTTATGTTTGTTTTAGGTATTCTATATTCATTTATACTTCGACAATTGCATTTGTACTTGTGACATTAGATCCGAATCTAATTGAATCTCATACGTGTGATATAAGTTCAGAAACAGAGCTCCAAATTTTATCACAAGGTCTATGGAGAAATGCAACGGGTATTTCGATGAATTGTTCCCAAGTACGAATTCTCCCATTCCGAATAGAAGATGGCTTCTACGGACTAACACTTAATTCGAAAATTTTCGAAATTACCATCACGGACAGCAGTTTAAACAATATAGTAAGGAACGCGTTTGCAAGCTTTGAAAATCTACTAATCCTCAGAATGGAGAAAGTTGGACTGAAATCAATAAACCGAGACAGCTTTAGTAACATAGCTGAGCTTCAAGAGCTTTATCTACAGAAGAATCTGATATCAGAAATACGTAGAGGTGATTTTTCGCAGTTAAAGAATCTAGAAATTCTAGATTTGTCAGGAAACATTATCCATTACGTCGAAAGTGGATCTTTCAGAGGATTGGTATTCTTGAAAGTACTAAACTTATCAAAAAATAAAATCAAAACTTTACACAACGTTACGTTTTCGTCCCTTTGGAATTTGAGGTATTTAGATTTGTCCTACAACGAACTTAAGGGTGACTTTTCACTCTTCAACAACTTGTTCAACTTGGTCTACCTAAACATGAGTAACAACAGAATATACCATTTGGTAAAAGGTGGTTTTAAGGATTTAAAAAATCTCGAGGTACTCGACTTGGCTACCAACTCATTGGAAAGTTTTACATTAGGATCCTTAACAGGACTCGAAAATTTAACACACTTTAACATGTCAAACAACAAACTTTTCAGTCTCAATTGTCTAACATTGTTTGCTTTACAAAATTTGGAACAATTACACATAGATCACAACCGCCTTACGTTTCTAAACGTGAACGAATTATTGAATTGCTTACCAAAACTGAACGACGTCAGTTTGGAAGAAAATAACTGGGAATGCGGATTGCTCTTGAAGAACCTACAGGACTTCCGCAGTTTCAGAATTAATGTCAAGTATGGATCGTCCTTTCAACATGAAAACATCTACGGTATACGATGCACCAAAAGGCCAGAATTTTCGTATAATCTTCAGCAGAAAGAAGACTTACTCTCGTCTCTTAATAATCCCAATATCAATCCACCTACTGTACCCTATACAAGTGTTGTAGATAATTTAAAAACAATAGTAAACGAAATATTCCGTAACAGTGCTGTTCTTGACAAGTTGTCAGATAGTGACTCCAACACCTTGTTATCCAAAGTCTTGATGATGGAAGATCTCTTGAAAGAGATGTTGGAAAGGTCCAAAGCCACCAACGCTCTATTGCAATCCGTTCTCCAAGATAAAGCGGACGAAAATACTTTCGAAGGAAGACAATATTACAACAGCAAACCAGAAAGCAAATTTTTACAAAACTCTACACATCACAATGAATCTAATCAACTTTATCAACAGAACAGTAACAACTTAATTATTCTTGAAAAAGCAAAGCTATTGTCAGAAGGTATTGTTGAAGATAAAAATGAAGAAAATTCTACCTCTCAAATGTTAATCATAAGGGTAAAAAATAAAATCACGGAACTCTTGCCTAATAACTATCAAAACAGTTCCCGTCTGCAAAACACTGTAGGATCTCCACGTCACGAATTTAGTAGATCAATTGCCCATTCACAATTTGATCGCCCATCCTCCGAAAACGACAATGAATCTTATTTTGCCAATGTATTATCATCAGTGGCTTTTTTGATAACTCTTATCGTTATCCTTATTGTTTCTGTTAAGATTTATTTACGGCTTAAAACCCAGCGAAAGATTCATTGTCAAAATATATAAATTAATTTAACAGTACTGCATTTAATCAATCTGGATACCTGTTTTAAAATTGTATTTAATAAAATAAAAATTTAGTTATATTCCTAAGTGTCTTATATTATGGCAATGGTTTCCATGGGCGTAGCTAGTGATTTTTCCTAGGGGGCACATTCTTAATAGCTGTAAGTTTATATAGATTTAATGTGTTTTGTTTCCATGTGTCGATATCCCGACTGGCCAGAGCCTTTTGTAGGGGGAGCAATGAGCTAGTTAGGGGGGGGGTAGGGAGTGCCCCCTCCCAGACCCTATCTTTCTATGTCCATGATAGTTTCCCGTTTGCAAGAAGTGTTCCCGGTAAAGGTCTAGATGATGGCCCCATCCACGAAGGGGGTGTGGGTAGGGGGGATTGAAAGAAGAGGTCTCCCCCCAATGTACCATAAAAAGTTCGTGGCGATCTCACCGCCATNAAGTTATAGGGGTTCAAAGTTAATAAATATGTCAATTTTTCTAGGCATATAAATATTTATATAGTCATTCTTAAACAATATTCAAAGGTAAAACTAATGGAAAAATACATAAAAATATTGAGAAAGTCATATAAAACATTATTTAAATATCTTTATCAATAGGTTAGGTTAGGTTAGGTTATCGGGTTTTGTTCAAGTGACCACCCTCTTTCGATCCCCCACCTCCACCCGCTTAAAAATAATTATTTTATTGAATTTTATTTGAATTATACTGGATGAATATTGTCAAAATAATGAACTTTCACCCCCCATAACGTTTTATGGGGGTGAGAACGCCACACATTTATGGGGTTTTACTCAGGTGACCACCCTCTTTCGATCCCCCCTCTACCTCCACCCCCATAACTTTTTATGGGGGTGAGACCGCCTCGAACTTTTTGTGGTGCAGTGGTGGGGGAGACATCCTCTTTCGATCCCCCACCCCCACCCCACCTTCGGGGATGGGGGCCATTATCTAGATTTTAACGTGTTCCCAATGGTTTCGTATTTTTCGACATTTTCAAATAAATTAATTTTTGTTCAAATGTTTCCCCCACTTATCAAATCCTGTTCAACAGTAATTTTTGAGAGAACATATTTGTTATGAAAAGTGGATTTTTTGAGGTCCATTTTTTGCACCAGTCAAATTTTTGTATCTTTTCTAATTAGATATCCAAATATCCAACAATAATAATAATCGGTTCAGAGTTATGCATCTAATCTTGAAAACACTCTGCAGGTTGTGTTAAGATATATTTGTTATATGATAGTGATTCAGAAAGCAAGTGCTTGTCATTCTTCCTTTATTATTATCAGCTTCATTTCCTTAATACAAACATATAATAATGAACAATCATTATTCTTGTGATTGTGCTTTAAACAAAAGGAATTCAAGCAGACTGTAGTGTATTTTGTGTTTATTTGATACAATTTTGTGGTATGTATTAAGTACTCAACTCTATGTTCATTGCTTACATACTTTTCTTTTTCTTTATTATAAATATAAAGTACATGTAACTTTTAATCTAAACAAGGTCATAAAAATAAATGAAAATTTGTATTAAAATCTGAATTCGCGAAAGAAATCGTCAAATCCTATTTCATATCAGGGATCGAACACCACTACACTTCTTCTGAAGTTCTCAATATTTAAATTAGTTTTTTTAACACCCTGTCTAAATTTGAAGAAAAATCATATCATACCAAACAACATTAAACAGTACATCTACAGTAAAAATTTGGTTAATAATATACAAAGGAATAAAATTATTTTTGTGCCTTGTTTTAAAAACAAAATTGAAGATAGTCCTTTACGATGCAGTTCTTGCATTATCAATTATATAATAAAATAGAGTGTTCAATTTAAAACAACAATGTTAGTGCCTATTTCCAATATAACAAGGATCGAAACTAGTATACAATTCCTAAGAAATGTATACAATTCCGAGGCTATTTGGGAAATGTATAAAATATTGTTTCAAAAAATTTTTAATACACTCATATCCTGGGAATTGTATACATTCCCTAGAAATTGTATGAAATTCCGATATTGTAGGGGAAGGTGGGGCAGCTTCATACAGTTTTTGTAATTTGTCTTATAGAATTCTCTCGGGTATCGATAGCTATACCGATTCATCAAAAATCAGTAGTCTTATAATCTGACTTTATATTAAAAATTTGATATTTGTGTAAATACACTTGTACGAATTTTTGTAAAACTTTAAAAAAAAAAAAATAAAAATGTATGAATGAGAAACAGGAGTTAGGAGGGGTAGAGGTAGGCCTAGATTAGATTACTCTTTGCAAATAGTTAAGGATGTGGGCTGTTCTAGTTTTAGGGAAATGCGAAGTTTAGCTCAGGATATGAAAGAGTGGAGGTACGTGTCCAACCAGTCTTAGGACTGATGACCTTATGATGATGATGATGATGTATGAATGTACCCCACATGCGGGGCACATTCATACAAGCTATGGGGCAGATTCATACATGTAAAAAGACGGACAAGTTGCTCATGAAATGTTTATTTATTTATCAAAATCAAAGTATTAAAACATAATGTTCATGAAAACAAAAGCAATAATAGTCTCTATCAGAGCCGGGCAAACTCGGATCTTTTGCATCCCGAGTGATCCTCAAGGTTAACCAAGTAGCTCCTCATTGATCGTGCGAGTGCGAGTGAGATGATTCTTTCCTTTTCTTATCCCTTCCATTTCGTAGATGAGTCCCCTCTTCCATAGCCAAACCCAATAGTTTTGCGAACGTAGTAACGAAAATTTTCGTAGGTATTATTTAAGTTGCGAGAGTGGCTTCGCTCGTCTACGGGATGAAG